GCATACAGGTCTACATCTGTTCCAGGAACTTTAATTTTCTTCAGTTGAAATGCAGGATTATCTTTCAGTTGCTGCAGCTCAGCATCATTGGCTTGGTCTTCGGTAATTACTGCATAATCGATAAATGAAGAATCGATGGCAGAGACATTGCGAGACAGGTTATCATCTGGGATATTTTCTTGGCCTTTGATGTACTAGACGTCTGTAGTGAACTGCAAAATGTAGTCAATATGACGAAGTTGTCGAGGAGTGTAGGTGGACTTGTTGGTGTTGAAGAGAGTAGAGAGTGGCTAGTAATCGGTGAAGATGTGGAACTTCTTACCTTCCACTAAAAGTTGAAACCGTCTGATCACTTTATAAACAGCTAAAAGTTCTTGATCAAATGTGCTATAGTTCCATTCAGCCTTATTTCGTTTCTTTGAGAAAAAGGCTAAAGGTTTCCATCCATCTTTCACATATTGCTGCAGAACAGCTCCAGTGCTAGTGTTGGAGGCATCAGTAGTGATGGACATTGGGGCATTTTATTTGGGAAAGCTGAGTGTACTTACTACACTAAGGGCTTGCTTAGCAGTATTGTAGGCAATATCAGCTTCAGGAGTCCAAACAAGAGCAACTGATTGACCTCTTTTGCATGATCTGATTATGGAATACAGAGGTTGGAGAAGAAGGAATGAATCTGTTGTAGTAGTTAATCATCCCTAGGAATTCCTTGAGCTGGCACTGTGTAGTTGGTGTAGGAAACTTTTGAATAGCTTTCTCCATTTTGGAGAAGATGGAACATCCAAAAAGTTGTGAAGTTAATTCTTGAATGCTGGGATTGGGAAACGATCCACCAGTGTCTGAGCATTGGAAGGTCCACAGGGCTGTAGTTCTCCATTCTACTTAGAAACGACATGCAGTGCAGATGACCAGTTGCTGGAGCTTGCAGGGACGATTCTCAGATGTAGGAAGGACTCAAAGTCTTCTTTTATTAAGTGATACTGTACAGAGGTAATTGACGAGATATAACACTTGTAGGGCGACCAGTTGTTTCGATGTGATGAATAACAAAATAGGAAGGATAGCAAATTATGGTTGAGTAAGTGAAGGAAAGGATTTTGGCAGTGATGCAAATGTGTTGTTGGCATCGATTGTGGAGATCTACAAGCTATTTCCATGTAGAAGTTGAGAATTAGTAGATTTCATAGTAGTGTCAAGGAGTCTCTAATTTTTAATGTCAACTAGATGGTTGAAGTTTCTCAAAATATTGGCACCAAGTATAGAAAGTTCACTGAAATGTGTGCTGAATATTGAGTGTAAAAGTTCTCTGTCTATATACACGAACTGTTCATCCACTGCAGGCAAAATGCTAACCTCGGCACCAGTGTTGACTAGGAACTTGATGTCAGAGAGTGGTTCCCACACATAAATAAGCATGGAAGAGGTGTGGTGAACGTTATGTGTCTCTAATGCTCGCCATTGCTATTTAAATATTTATTGAAGTTGCAGGGCTGAAGACACTTTTTTGCTGCTTCCTTGAGTTTGCTGTCATAGAGGCACAAGTCATCTCTTCCTCTGGACCGACTTCTTGACCTGTGCCATGGCTTATTGTTGGTAGAGATGCAACAAGACAAAAGGTGTACTTAATTTTGGAGAACATTAACCTGGATAGCGAGTTTTGAAACAAGTTCTGCCAACTGTTCTGTTCGAGATGTGGAAGCTACTTCAGCCACAGAATGAGAAGTAGGAAGTGACGCCATAAACTCATCTGCTAATTTAGCGAGTTCATCGATGGTGAGCTTCCCTTTCACTGTGAATAACCCTGTGTGCTGTGTGGTGCAGCAGTAGCAATCTCGTCTAGAAATCTTGCTAAGCTGTATTCAAATCCTTCGCTGCTAGTGAATGGTTACCAGGCCATTCCTTGCACACAGGGGATAATTTAGAATCAAATTGAAACAGACATTATACCACACCGAGAATATCCTTTGTAATAAATGGAATCAGACTAAATTATTATTATTATTATTATTATTATTATTAATCATCATGTTGAATATGTGAAGGCAGGCGTTGGAAGAAAAACTAGAAAGATAGTCTTATCAAAACTACCATACATGTCACCAATGAGCTTCTTCATACGACGTAACAAAGCAGGTTTTTCGTTCTTCTTTGCTGAAGAGTTCCTGAACTGTGGTAGTGATGGAAGATTCCAGTCTCGACAGCAATGCAGTCTTCGGCGCTCCATATGGCTCATCCGAGAGCGCAGCAGTCGAAATGACATCTGAAACTTGAGCCAAAACATCTGGAGGAAGGAGAGTTGTTGCATGACTAAACTTGATGACACTTTTGCTGATGCGGTGTGCTTTAAAACAACAATCGAGTATGGTGAGCCACATGGAAGGA